TTCACGCACTTATTGCTAATCACACTTTACAGAGCAACATCAGATAATGCCGAAAGCGTGTTGCTAAACTTGAATGTTTAACATGCAGTCGATCTGTTTTAACATGCACCAGTTTAATGACACGTAAGAAGTGACGCGCTATGTACGCCATTATGCAAAGCTTCGATGGCATGCAAGTGCCATATACTTGGCAAATGCGGGATTTCACGCTAATTAACTCGATTTTATATAATTATATATAAGGGTGAATGTATTTATTGTACTATTGTCCTGTATTGTAGGTTTTCGAACAGTAAACAGAAGGGAAACAAACTAAACTTGTCCTTTTTTCATATCAGAGCAATCGGTGACAAATGGCGCCCAACATTGGCCCAGGGATATAACGCTACTAGGAGCGATGCTACCGGTTATTCACCTCATTACGTCATGTTTGGGTGGCACCCCAGATTGACGGTAGATGACCTTTTAGGTGCAAACAAACCGGATATGGGAGTAGCTGATCCGGTAGCATATATTAGAAAGTTAAAAACAAGGCTCTTTGATGCATTGCACGGTACCAATAAACTACCGTTCAATATTTATAAACTGGTGGTTGAGGATTATGAGAAGTTCTTTAAAATGTTATATGTGACGTTTCGATGACTAGTACGATATGTACACTGTCACCTTCATCAGACAAATGATCAATGAAGCGTATGCACACAAAGGTGTAAAATGTGTACGAGTTGTCCATAAAATCGATGTCGATTTCGGCTACGCTGGAAACGTATGGACAATAGAAATATGTACCGAAATGACTCAATTCAGCTATGCTTTGTTAACACTTGGTCATGGTGTTTGAGGATGTCTGTAAACACCGTTGACGGTATCACAGGGAACGTGTATATTGGTGACATTGTATAATCTATAAAGCGGCGTTATACCATAGGCATCAACAGACACAACATATTTCAAACCTAACAAAAGAAGTTGAATCATGGTTTACGTTTGAGAGAAAATCCTTTCAAAAGAATGAAAAACTTTGATTTACATATGGATATCAGCAGTCGGATCGTCTACAAGTAAACGGAAAGCAAAGAATCACGTCATACACTGTGGGTTTTTTTGTGTACAAATTGCATTAAAGTGATAGATTTTCTGTACAATTAGTGTCACACATAAAAATGACGTTTTTCCACAGATTTGTATATCGGTGCTGTGTTGTTAAGTGTACATACAGACTACAGTGTGGAGATATACAAGATAAAAGCCGTAAATCAGATCCGGAAGATTTCAAACAACAAAGAAATACGATGTGATTACGTCATTGGAGTGCGTAATATCTCATATTCTTTTTGTATTCTGTCATCTGTGAGGACGTCTTATCTTGTCAGGTGTCCTAAAAACGTAACAGTGTTGTCTAGATCAATACGTGCGGTGTTTGCACGTGTTGGCGCGTTCGATGACAGAGCGGTGTTCTAGGAGACGACTTTGTCTATGGTTTGGTGGTCTCATAAGAGATTACTCTATTTAAACTCTATGAACCGTTAGCCTAGGAGAATGATCGCCTGTAATGCAAATATTAAGCATTAACACATTTCAGTTAGGATTTAATATATATTCTTATTTGCTCTAATTGATGTTCTCAGTTGTTTTAGGAGGCGTCTTCCTTTTCTTTTTCGAATGTGAATGTTGTATATATATGATGTGATGTGACCGCTACTGCTGACGAAGAAGTCTCTGCCATGACTGCTGGCATCTATTCGATGACGGACCATTGACACAGCTCACACCAACAATTAAGAAAGATCTGTACAAGATCATCACAAACATCAACGGCATGTGAGCTGATTCCGCCTCCAACAGATCTACTGCAGCACTGTCTTGAAGTACTGTCTTGAAGTACTGTCTTCCTACATTACATCAACCATGAAAACGTCATTAGCTGAATAAAAGGTTTCATTGGGATTTTTATTTTCAAGAAAGCTTCAGGCGGAAATTGACACGGAGGGGTTAGAGGACCAACGTCCGGCGTGTATAAATATACCGTTTATATCTAAAAGCCATCATTGGTACGCTGGTGACACACCCAGTCTACAAGACTATAAAACAACATGACTGCTAAGACATCAGAAAGTCTGCAAATGTGTTAATTGGTTTGGTTTGGTTTAATTTTGTTTCAAGTCCTAATAACAGCTAAGGTCACTCAAGGACGTGCCTCCGTGTGTGTAGTGTAGGCGTGCTTGCTTGTGTGTATGTAGGAAACAGGGTATGTTGGTGTGCTTGCCTCCTTGTGATAGCGCCGATCTGATGCAGACTTTATAGTGCTATCTCACTGAAATGCTACTAGTAGCTAGCCGTCTGTAGAGGTCAAGAAAACTGAAGCATATGGTCTGATAACCCGTACTCGAGAGAGAGACCACATTACACCAGTGCTGTTTTATGATATCGCGGGTTCTATGGTATCGCGGTACTGGATGTTTACGATTTTTGCGACGCCGAGTGTGGTGGGTGTAAAAAAGTGTTTGCTTGATCTGTAAAATGAACAGATACTTGGGATAAAAACATTATAATGGTTTTGTCTTTATTGATAGGTTTGTTTGTGTAAATGTTCTTTGAACGTTAACTACCGCGATACCAGAAAACTCCAGGCTACCTGTATCATACTTGAAATATTATTATATGCTCTGTAAATGTAGAACGATTTTAAGTTTTGATAACAGGGAGCAATCTAAATGTTGTTTATTATCATGATTATTATTGAAAACGCCGTTTGCATGTGACATAGTATGGTTTCCGTTTGGAAATTCTGGAATCACTGCAAATTTACTTTCACATGGAGACAGATACGATTGTGATTCTAATCTATACCATTTTAGCACAATGAGAAACAGAAAATACTCAAAATAATATTTGAAAAGTATTTCACTACACATACGGAGGCACGTCCTTAAATGACCTTAGCTGTTATTAGGACTTTAAACAAATGGATTTCCTTTTACTTTCTCTAGGAATATTAAGGCGATTATGATTAATACAAAGCTTAGTGTTGAGGAGATTAAGAATGACGGTCGTCATTATTTCCTCCTTCACATGACGTATTGAAGTAGTGGGTGGAACTGGTTATACATCAACCGTGGAATTTCCTATATATTGGAGATTTGCCAACGCTTTTGTAGACGGAAACAGAGTCATTTCCATGGTAACACGAACATCGCCCTGATGACACAAGGCACCAGATGTAATATATATCGTTAACTGAATCTCATCAACGAAAAACTAATTGCTTCATGTCAAACATGTATTTGTTGTAATTTAATTTCCTACAACGTTGCAGTGAATTCCTATTGACAACCGAGATAAGAGTTGGCGATGCTGATTCCGCTACCGTTAGTCTTTCCCCAGTGCAGTAACTACAGGAGTTTTTTAATTAGTTACATGCCAAATATGGCGTTACTAACACGCCGGGACGTTTGCGCCTGTAACGCAGACCAGTGTAATTCCGAGGTGTGTTTTTTGTGTCTGCTCCCCTGTAATCATCGTGATGAGGTGGACTGCGGTGTGATGGAGCGGAACACTGGGACAAACAACTCTCGGAATTAACGGGACACAAATGGAGAGTGCCGTCTGCCCCCACACCGGAGTATTACAGATTACTGACCCAATGTCCTCTGGCCGAATGAAAATACTACCCTGGCCAAATAAGCATGCCGATAGCAGGAAAGCATCGATAGGGGATTAATTAAGGGGGCCTGCACTGTGATGTGACATTAACCAGCTGCCCGGGCCGGTCCCTGCACATGTAACGTTAGATTTCCCTGGGCGGGGCGTACACAACTCTACTCACCAGTCGGGTAGATACCACGTGTTCTGTGCTGCTGGGGCGGCTCTTGTAATTCAATTAGGGAGATATCATTATTTCGGTTTGAAACCTCAACCTGCGGGCGAAGTGTGTTCTAAGTCCAAATACATAACACGCAACACTCCGGTCGTACAAACACAGTAGTTTTTATTAGACTGTTCTCTCACTAATGGGGTTATGAATTCAATGTAGATGCGGATAATCAAATATAACGGTTTAGTTATTATAACACAAAATTTGTTTTGATCGTCAAATCTATAAATCATTGTGACGGTAATTAGCCATAGTACTGGTCGCCGGGACGATGCCCCGTGGGTAGGGGACACAGGATCGTTAACACGCGCTGTATAGCGGGTGTATAAAGCCACCACCTGTTAGCATGATTGCATACATATGATCGTGTGTGTATCAAAGGTATCGGTAAATCATTTGTAGGTATCAAAGACCTTGATAAATCATGTTATTATCAAAAACTAATAAATCACGAGTGAGTATTATAGGGATGCAGTAGCACCCGAGGTCGTTAAACTGGAGATCAGATATACGCTTGTATTGGTCCTGCTTGCTAGTGGGACCAGCCAGTCTAGGTTGCAATACCAATGCCGTGTCTGGGTCGTCTCTGGAAGAACTGGTTCACACGAAAACGGCTCCGTGTATCGTGACGATTGATAGGTTGCATAGAGCTCGTGTTCATACCAAACACGACTTTGCATACTGGTGATGCTAGTGTTACTAAGGACGATGTCCCGAACCAAATTATTAGATGACAGACTCATAAGCTAAAGATATGCTTCTTCAGAGCCGAACGGCTCATAATACTAATAACTCGAGGTTAGTATATACCGCTTTATCATAACCTAGTTCGTAGGTCGTCTCAAAGCGGTTCACAAATTAATATCCGTGGTTGTAGGGCCTTTGCAACCAGCCAATATCCTTCTCATGATGCCGATGCTGCCATTTCGGCTCTCACATAATTCAATAATTCTAGCTCTGCCCAACCACGTACTCATTTACCGCTGAGTAGACTGGAACAAGCGGTAACTTGCTCAAATATGTAACACAGTGCGTGAGTCGAACCCGCCACCCTTCGGTCACGAGCCCGACGTCCTACCACTAGACTACCGTGCCTCATTACTGTACAGATAAAAAACACACTTACCACCATGTTGTTTTTGTCAGTTTGGCTGGTCTGTGAGGTACACATGTGGATGTATTTATTGGTCAAGGCGTGCTTCAACTAAAACAGGAAAAGGGTATTAAGGTACACAAGTGGTCAGCTTAAAGTGAAAATGATACAGAGTAATATGTGTTGTCAGCTAAACCAGGAAAGGGTTTAACAGGATAAGGTAAACAGCGCAAAGAAACGAGAGTTATCGCAGAATCCTAGAGCGATGTTCGACAAGAAAACAATATGAACGTTTGTACAGTTAGGAAGCAAACGGTGCATTGGTTACCACTATCTGACGTACCACTGTCAAACACAATCATAAAATTCTACCATGCAGAAACATTTTTTCTGTCTTTTATGGTAATAAACTCGCTAACAATTAAAATTGATTATACATCGTAATGAGAATGTAATTGAAAACAAAAATACTAAAGCTAATTGTTATCATATTGCCTATTTCATCACGTATTCCGTTTGTCTGTGATGCCTTCGCAATGCTTTGTATACGTACACACGTATACGTACTAACACGTGACAATTTATTGGGGTTTTTTAACGTTCATGTGAAAACTACCATTACGTGACAGAATTTATTTGTTTTTTACACGTACATGTGAAAACGTACTATTACGTGACACAATTCATTCGTCTTTTAACACGTAGATTTGTTTATTTATCATCACATGAAAGGATTCATTAGTGTTTAATACGTGCACTTGTACACTTACTATGTGAAATAATTCATTGTTTTTCTACATGTATTTCGTATTTCTTTAATCATTAACGAAAACCTCATTCTGATTTCATTCTTAATAAAGCTACACAAAAACTTGTGACGCGCGGGAAACTGCCGACTAAATTAGACGCCGAGACGCCTCGAGGGAACATGATCAATGGGCGGTCTATCCATTAAGGCTGAATCTAAATCTTCCACGACAATCATTGCGAAATAAAACGCTTAATAAGCGCTCTCCGAGGAACTCTGAGACGGGATTTACAAATCCCCACAAATAGATCATCCTATCGCGAGATTTGCCGAGACGTCACGTAATGACTGTTAACGAGTACCCCAGTAATTAATTTATTTTGAATCTGCATAAGATTTGACACGAATGCGCCCCGAGTCTGATCAAGACCAGCACGAACGCACCCCAAGGACCGAAGAGAGAGAGAGAGAGAGCAATACGAACTCACATGAAACAACAAAGTTGTCCGATATTACCAATTCGTTCAAAGAGAATTGCAAAGGTTTTATTCAATATTAAAATTGCGCACACATTTAATACAAACAGAAGATTCAAATTATTCAGCGAAGTTCAGCAAAAGATAACTTAACCGTCTCATCTTTGAGAAAACTCGACAATACTAAATTCCCTTTTTAACAAAAACTGTCGTATAGTTGAATTGATTGTTTCTTCATAATAAGTTTATTGAAATCGCGTATCATTTTATTCCTATATTATGCGTTTTTAACATCGTCGTTTTAGTCTTAGCAAGATAAACATCTGAAATAGCCGCAATGTGTCTAGCTGAGGGCTAAAATCTATCTTGTTCCCTTAAGTGCCACTTTCCCTGATGCTTTTAGTATGACGTGGTATGGATATTTTTCATTATAGTTTGTAGGTGACTATTTAACAAAGTAAGAGCAGAATATTCTGCTGGTGATACCTCGTGGACAACGAGATTTCGTTTTGTGACGTGATCACGTGACGTCTCGATAACACTGTCAGTAAGTTTCTATAAGTGAGTTACCCGCCTTGTCTGGCAACGTTGACGTCATATTTCGGTGTGAGATATTAGATTTTGTCCTCGGTACGACCCATTAAAATGCTAGCTCACCCTAACAGGGTCTGGCGTTTGTCACCTGACTTTTTTCTTGGCTCACCCTAACAAGGTCTGGCGTTTGTTACATGATCTCATGCGAGCTACAGTTATATATTGTTAACGTTTTATTATTTTATAATAGTAACAGATTTTATATATGACGATCAATGTGAATTCAGCAATTAATCCCTTTCCTTTACCAACTATAAATCCATCCATGTAATACCTCTCTTTCCTAAGCCCGATATATGGTGAATCTTTTCGGAGCTCTCTGTATTTTTCGTTAGACCCACCTGTACGATGTCGCCGTACCGGACTCTCTTGCCCATCTGACGTTTCTGTTCCGCTGCATTATCCGCATTCTCGGCGTCTGCTGCAAACTGTCATACAAACATCTGATCAAAACCTGTGCACGTTAATCTTAAAATCCACAGTATTTGTTTTTATATATTATTTAAATATTTCATGGATCAGTCAAATACTATTAAGCAGCAAAATATAAATATTTATCGCAGTTCTTTATTCTTGATTTAATTGTTTTGTGGTCAAAATAAATAAAGAAGCAATAATATACATGTCTATTTATTATATTTTCTATTTACTTATAATATGTTTACGTTCATAGCAGATTTTATTAATTATGCTATATATAATTTACTCCGATCCATTTTTTATATACATGTATATCATCTCTTCTTCAGCGTGCACACCGGTTTCTAGAGTGGAAATAAAATAAAGAAATCCCGAAACAACCAACTTTAAAAAAATCATCAGCAACCACACCAACATGACATTAAACACTTTAACGTAAACATCAACAATAATACTAACAAAACAATAACTAAAATATCAACAACAGCCCTACCACCACTACCGCCAACACAAATACATACATGTATGTTGATATCAAAAACGATGCTGAAGCTATAACACATCAATAGTATATACAACAATACAATAGCATAACACCGAGAATGACACTCCCGCCCACCTTGGCCTGAGCAAGCAATCCCTTGTCCTCTGTCAGGTCTGTCGTTGACGCGGCCTGGTTCACCCATTTCCGGTACTTCTTGTTTAATTTGTATCGGTTTTGAATACCAATTTCGAAGACGACAGCTACAAACAATTCAAAGTAATGTATTAAATGATTAAACAATAGAAAATGTGAACTATATAGATAAAACTGTAGCCACAGAAGACATTTAACTTGAATAATTTGCCTTTAAGATCTTTTTATAAGGATTAAGCAGAAACATGTAATTATGGAACACGAGGTTACTGAGTGCGATAACGTGATACACACGTATCGACACGAACTTAGTGTACCTTGCATAACCACGTTAAGGTGGGAAAAGGTTTTATTACATAATTTCAATATTTGTTTCATCAGTTCAGAAGGGAGAAGCTCACTTGTCTTTCGTCGACCGTCACGGAAGTATCGTGGGCGTAGGAACTTAACTTTCGAAATTGGGTAAAGGTTGGACATACCTTGATGGTTGGGACTTAGAGAGTTGGTGACTTTGGTCGTAACTAGAAAGCTGGAGCAAGCATGGACGTACCTAGAGCTTTTGAGAGTTTGTGGACGTACTTTGGGGGTATAGGTAAGCATGGACGTACCTAGAGGTTTTGAGAGTTTGTGGACGTACTTTGAGGGTATAGGTAAGCATGGATTTACCTAGGGCTTTTGAGAGTTTGTGGACGTACTTTGAGGGTAAAGGTAAGCATGGACGTACTTTAAGGGTTTAGGTAAGCATTGACGTACCTAAAGCTTTTGAGCGTTTGTGGACGTACTTTGAGGGTATAGGTAAACATGGACGTACCTAAAGCTTTTGAGAGTTTGGGGACGTACTTTGAGGGTATAGGTAAGCATGGATTTACCTAGGGCTTTTGAGAGTTTGTGGACGTACTTTGAGGGATGGGTAAGCATTGACGTACCTAGAGCTTTTGAGAGTTTTGACGTACTTTGAGGGTATAGGTAAGCATGGATTTACCTAGGGCTTTTGAGAGTTTGTGGACGTACTTTGAGGGTATTGGTAAGCATGGACGTGCCTAGAGATTTTGAGAGTGTGGACGTACTTTGAGGGTATAGGTAAGCATTGATTTACCTAGGGCTTTTGAGAGTTTGTGGACGTACTTTGAGGGATGGGTAAGCATTGACGTACCTAGAGCTTTTGAGAGTTTTGACGTACTTTGAGGGTATAGGTAAGCATGGATGTACCTAGAGCTTTTGAGAGTTTGGACGTACTTTAAGGGTTTAGGTAAGCATTGACGTACCTAAAGCTTATGAGAGTTTGTGGACGTACTTTGAGGGTATATGTAAGCATGGACGTGCCTAGAGATTTTGAGAGTGTGGACGTACTTTGAGGGTATAGGTAAGCATTGATTTACCTAGGGCTTTTGAGAGTTTGTGGACGTACTTTGAGGGGATAGGTAAGCATGGATTTACCTAGAGCTTTTGAGAGTCTGTGGACGTACTTTGAGGGTTTAGGTAAGCATTGACGTACCTAGAGCTTTTGAGAGTTTTGACGTACTTTGAGGGTATAGGTAAGCATGGATTTACCTAGGGCTTTTGAGAGTTTGTGGACGTACTTTGAGGGATGGGTAAGCATTGACGTACCTAGAGCTTTTGAGAGTTTTGACGTACTTTGAGGGTATAGGTAAGCATGGACTTACCTAGAGCTTTTGAGAGTTTGGACGTACTTTGAGGGAATAGGTAAGCATGGACGTACCTAGAGCTTTTAAGAGTTTGTGGACGTACTTTGAGGGTATGGGTAATCATTGACGTACCTAGAGCTTTTGAGAGTTTGTGGACGTTCTTTGAGGGTATAGGTAAGCATACGGAAGTATCGTGGGCGTAGGAACTTAACTTTCGAAATTGGGTAAAGGTTGGACATACCTTGATGGTTGGGACTTAGAGAGTTGGTGACTTTGGTCATAACTAGAAAGCTGGAGCAAGCATGGACGTACCTAGAGCCTTTGAGAGTTTGTGGACGTACTTTGGGGGTATAGGTAAGCATGGCCGTACCTAGAGGTTTTGAGAGTTTGTGGACGTACTTTGAGGGTAAAGGTAAGCATGGACGTACCTAGAGCTTTTGAGAGATTGTGGACGTACTTTGAGGGTATAGGTAAGCATGGATTTACCTAGAGCCTTTGAGAGTTTGTGGACGTACTTTGGGGGTATAGGTAAGCATGGACGTAACTAGAGGTTTTGAGAGTTTGTGGACGTACTTTGAGGGTATTGGTAAGCATGGATTTACCTAGAGCTTTTGAGGGTTTGTGGACGTACTTTGAGGGGATAGGTAAGCATGGACGTACCTAGAGCTTTTGAGAGTTTGGGGACGTACTTTGAGGGTATAGGTAAGCATGGATTTACCTAGGGCTTTTGAGAGTTTGTGGACGTACTTTGAGGTATGGGTAAGCATTGACGTACCTAGAGCTTCTGAGAGTTTGTGGACGTACTTTGAGGGTATATGTAAGCATGGACGTGCCTAGAGATTTTGAGAGTTTGTGGACGTACTTTGAATGTATAGGTAAGCATGGACGTACCTAGAGATTTTGAGAGTTTGTGGACGTACTTTGAGGGTAAAGGTGAGCATGGACGTACCTAGAGCTTTTGAGAGTTTGGGGGCGGTCTTTGAGGGTAGAGGTAAGCAGGGACGTACCTAGAGCTTTTGAGAGTTTGTGGACGTACTTTGAGGTATGGGTAAGCATTGACGTACCTAGAGCTTTTGAGAGTTTGTGGACGTACTTTGAGGGTATGGGTAAGCATTGACGTACCTAGAGCTTTTGAGAGTTTGGACGTACTTTGAGGGTATAGGTAAGCATGGATGTACCTAGAGCTTTTGAGAGTTTGGACGTACATTGAGGGTATAGGTAAGCATGGACGTATCTTCAGGGAGGGGCAACTTCTGACATCCCTTGAGAGTTGGGGTTAGCATGGACTTATCCAGAGAATTGGGGTAAGCATGGACGTAACTTAAGGAGTAGGGTTACCATTGACGTACCTTGAGAGTTAGGCATTGCCATTTTGTAAGTTTTAACGTACCTTGGGGGTTAGGGATTTTGGACGGTTTTTCTCGGTCCTGGTTGTGGTTTATGTATAACCCGCTGTGGACGGAGCTGAAAGGATACCAAAAAAATCTCATTTATACGCTGACGTCACAAAAAGCTTTGAACCGTAAAAAGTACGCGAAGCGTTGTATGCAAAAAAGTGCACCATTTTTTAATTTAAAAAGTAGACAAACACGTTGTAAATGCACAGTTAAAGATTTATTTAAACTAAACTACACAATTGCGCTAAAAAAAAAAGCTGCGTTGTAATTTTGCATTCTGAGGTGTAAAAAGCAGTTCCGTCATCAGTTGTTTTTCTTTTTAGGTATATACGATATATACCAAAACAAATAGTATGGGGGAGATAGGCAAAATTAAATTATTATGGAACGGTACAATGAGAATGTTAATATGGCACATACATTTATGACGTGAGAGTACCAGGATGTCTACCAATGTCCCTAATGTAATGACTGCCCTCCTGCTACAAAACTGTTAATACGTTTATAATCATTTCCTGCAAGAGCGTCCATGCTGGCTTTGTTTACCTCCGTTTATTTTACAGTGCAAAATAAACCCATCTAAAACAGGGTCAGTTATCAGTAAAGATGTTTCCTGACAGTCATCTGTCTAGTTCAAACTATTCAACACACATGTGTCCACGGAAGTAGTTTTAAAGTAGATCGACAAAGTTAAAGAATTATTTGCATAGACAATAACGTTTGGTCCATTTGTCATATTTGATATATGGGAATGATGGTGGGTGTTGGATGGGGTGTGTTGGTTCTGAGTTTTACCTGAAATGAACTTATATAAGCTAAGCCCTGAGCTATTTTTCGCTCTCATGGAACGAAACTCAAGGGGCAATTCAGGTAAAATATCAGTATCCGTCTCCATGGGTCCAGCCATTCCATAAACATCTAAAGGTTGGGGTTATCGGCTGTTTCCATGTTGTTACAATGTTACTCAGTGCGGGGCAACATCCCTTGGCCAATCCTGGCTGAATGATTGTGTTCATAAGTAGGGACCTCAGCCATTTCTAAATTATTACACATTTTTGTCCCATCAACAAAAAACACTAATAAACCAATATCAAAAATGGCGAAAAAAGTCCTGTCATGATGTACACAAATTTAAATGTTGATATCAATAATGATGCCAAAACATCAATATTATATACAACAATAATATACCACAACATCGAGAATGACCCACCCACTTTGACCCCAGCCCCCTAAAGGATCATCTTTCTGTGTTACATTTTAATCATCACTACCCGAAGACGCTTCGTTTGAACAATGGATGATATCTATAATATAATTTCAGAAAAAAGGTACTTAAAAATAGTATAGCCAAATTAATCTTTTTGCTCCAGCTGCCCCTCAGCCGACTGAGTGCCAGCCTTTCTATATATACATTTCTAAATCCCAACCACCTGATGATGCTTTCAACCAAATATGGTTACTATCAATTTAATAGTAAAAAAAAACCAGAAACTGCTTAGAGCAGTTAATTCAATTTACATCTTTTAGACACCACCCCTCTAAATACGAGAGGTCAACTTCTCCATTTTTACATTGTATTCAATGATGGTTCTTGTCGTCAGCGGTTAAGATGTCATTCAAAGAAGTTTTTGACAGACGTGCTGACGACGGCGCCGCAGTATGACATTAGCTTGCATTGGTTAGGACAAAGTGAATTCATATTGTGGAATGCTATAAATAAGAATATTGTCTGTCTACATTGCTGTCTTTTACAGGTTTGCTATTTGTTTTACTACAGTACATGTATATTTATTTCTTGATTGTTACTCAAAAGATATTTATCAATGTCCATTATGTAAACAAGTTATTCAGTATTGACAAATAAACAAATTGGTAATATTTTCATGCATTTATTTCTATTCAAAAATAAGAACTCGAATTGAATATGCCCCATTTCACATTTTATAACAGTGAGGGTTGGTGACGCGTCTTCAACTGCCCGTCTGATGTGCCGCATTCGGTGATGGTTGGCAACAACAAAGGGGGATCATGGAGATGTCTGTTCGGAGTGTCCATGTCCTGTGTGTCATCTTCTATGTACAAAGCAGTTTCAGAATGGATCAGGATGCACTCCCCGTTGCTTTAACCGATGTCTGATGTAGTTGACCTCTGTGTGTCTGCATTTACATTTCTCACTGTTGAGCTTTAGACCCACGCACTGACACCTTCTAAAAGTCATCTGCAGGTTTTTAACTCATAGATTTTGTACCCATTCCAGAATATCATCTTTGTCAATTAGGACCTTTAGAATGGTTTTAACAAGTTGGCTCTTCCTTTTTTGGAAGTGCTCACAGATGGCAGATGGCCTCACATTATCTATCTAACTGTGTCTGGAAGCTTTCTGGCTGCTGACTTTCGATGTCCAGTGCAACCCGACAACACACAGTAAGGCTTCTAATTTTAAGAACCATTTGGAGTCGGAAATCCTAAATACTAACACCTTATTTGTTGAAATGTTGCTTTTTCCCCGTTTGATTTTCATGTTAAAATTACTCTGATCCACTTTCTATTGAATAATTGACTTTGTCAAACGGCTCAGTGGACTACTTTTTCCGTTTTTGTTTCGATTTAATATTATTAATGTTACAGATTGTCTGATTTACGTCTTTGAAGAACAGTTTGTGGTACATCTCAACAGGATGTGTTTTCTTTGTATGAGTGGCTTTGATGGCTTCCAGATCCTGTGTTGATCTGCATTTTAGCAATGATGCCTGTATGGAGTTTGTTTGGATCCTGAAACGTAGACTTCTAGTTGCCGTTCCGAGTATGGTATGACACATTTCTCTGCTACTACATGTACTTTTCACCCGTGAAGCTCTTTAACGTTACCCCAGATTTGTCAATGTGTCTTTAATTTGTAGTTTCAGTATAGTTTTGAGAAGGATTTGAAACGTTTGCGAACTTTTGAATTCACACAACCTTATACAGTTTCTGGTTGACGAAAACTTCATATCTTCTGATCTCCTTGTCGTGTTTAAAAAATATGTCGTGTCTTCCTGTTGTTCCTCAAAATTGTCTCATGTTGTCTGTCTCCGTCCATCATCATTACAAGTCTCTCCTCTCTTCTTCCGCTCTTGTTTTCCTATTTCTTTCTCTCTCTCCCTTTCTATTCTTATCCACCTCCCTCTCTTTCCCTGCCTCTCAGCTTGTCCTTCACACATAGAGATCATGTAGATGGCGAGATTCCAATATAAACATATGGATATTAAGCTAGAGTTAATACATACATTTATTGTTTGTTAATACAAAACTTGATATATGAAAGGTTCTGTAACCTTTATGAAAACACCTAATGCAATTTGGTCCAAACTATTTCCCCGAGGTCTTGAGTTCGCGTGAAAAGAGTCTATCACATCGGCAGAGTGCAGTTTGGCCATCTCTTACATAAGGAAGGGCCTGTCAATATACTGCGCTTTCTCGTCGTGGGGTTTATATAGACAATTATGTGTTAATCATTCACAGACCCAACAGCTCGTACACAGTTATATACCTCATTTAATATTTATCCATTCATATGAGCTGTGGATGCCTTTCTTTCCTCACAAGAGTCGCTCTCACGCTGAATACAACGGCATGATTTGGTCGAATACATGTAACTAGCTTACAGTGTACTTAAATTATATATCGAGGACGTGGACTCCTATTAGCTGATAAACAGGACGTACGCCTCCCATTGGCTAATAAATGGCTAAGTTATTCTCAGATGCACAGAACGTGGCTTTTTGCAATATGTTTAATTAAGCAAGGAAAGGAAAAATTAACGTGCAAGTTTCGTTTCACCATGCACTTTTTTTTACAACAACAACAAAACTATATTATTAACGAGAGTGTCATTTTCAATCATTTTAAATATCCAAAACGTATTCATTTGATTGTTAAGTATATCGTTTCAAAAGTATTGTCTGTGGCTGATTGAATAGGAGCCTCCCGACCAGACAGCGAGACCACGAAATAAAATACCAGGACTTAACTGTGTAAAGCTTAGATAGGTTGTTATTTCTGTGTTAAAAACCGGAGACATTGATTTCCTCCCGATATCCGGAGGTACACCACATACACGCTTTCAGCGCCAGGGACAGGGGCACCAAACACCGTGTTCTGTGAAATAGAAAGTATATACCCCAGCATTGATTGATCTGAAAGTTTCCAATGAAGCCGAGTGATTTCTTATCCACCATCCAACCATGACGAATATATATGTAAATTAGAAATTGTTGAACTATCTTCTTTCTAACCAATTGGCAGCTTTGTTCCGGTTTCCGATATCTAAGTTAAGCTTATTGATGACGCTCCGAGGGACCCAACCCCAATTTATATGCAGACTTCTCCGATTTGTGTATAGACAGTCCTCTGGGCGCTACACAAGGCGTCGTCTGTCCATCACAGATTTGAGTCCGTCGCGACACCTGGCGGTGATTCATGACCTTGTATTTACATTGCGTATCATAGCTGGTCGTCGTTTACATATAAGATTCATTTCGGATGTTGCCTAGAAAACACCATTTTTGATTGATACGAAATTGTCACGGGAAAAACTGTTACGTCAAGCAATTGCATCATGCAAATTCTAAGTAACTGTGGTTAAAACGTCTTTATTCTGGAATCGAAATAAACATTAACGTTTGAGATTGTATTCCGCCTTTGCGTATTGCAGAGTTATCTTCTCTTGGGAGCAGGTATTGATTGTTACGTCATTGGGTTGTGTGAGAAAATTACGTCGTTTTCTGAAAAATTGATGACGTTACTCTCACAAACCAATGACGTAACAATCAATACCTTCTCACAAGAGAAGATAACTCTGCAATACGCAAAGACGGAATACAACACACTTCCGTTCAAACATATCCCATGTTGCGCGATAGCCAATTGCTGATCTAAGGGCTGGGCAATGGACATGTAGATATTTTTAACTGAAGGATGGCTTGTCTAAACACGACAACAATATGTCATCCTGGTACCCGTTGTCGTGACCAGACGAGAAAATAAAAGGCCGTCTCATCCCCATTGTCGTTTATACACGACAAGAGATTTTTGTGTAACCTGTCTTATGTATAGCTGGTTATCGCAAATGACAGTCGCATAGTACAATTAAATAAAAAAAAAATACAGTTGCAGAGGACACGTTTTCATTTTGTGACCTATTGTTTTCGAATTTGCCGCAAGTTGTTTGCGTTTGGTGCCTCAAATATTAACAATATGGCGGCAACTTAATTCGATACGGACACTCATAAATTCATCACTAAATATTTATCAAGACTGATGGAAGTAAATATGGTTATTTTAACATAAGTCTCGATGAAATCTACCTGTATTTAGAAAACAAACTTAACGAGCTCGTATTCGTAACCATAGTCAATCTCTATTGGGAACCTGCACTACAACGCTGTGTTGAATACAAGGAATCGTATCGTTTGTTGCCGGACAAAGGTCGATTTCTTCGTCATAATCAGCTGCCAGTTAGTCATAATGCTCCGAGAGTAAAAGAGTGTGTGTCTATGAACAATAACATGAATCAATACAAATATTTGTTCACAGTTACCTGATTATTTCCTGCAGCAGTTACACCTTTGTCTAAAAAGTACATTAATAATCCGCCATTTTGTTATATGCGCGGGGGCGAGTCTAATAATAACATCCGGTACGGAGTCCGCACCGGAGTTGCGGTACGGAAAGAGCTTAAGACACTGACCAGTAAATGGCCTTATTTTAAAGGAACTTCGTCAATGTTAGACTTGTTTTTAAGCATATCAATCAAAATTATTTATTGGCAATATCTGTATTTCGATTTGATGGCATTGGGAACTGATGTCAAATATGATCACCTATTCAATACTATCATACAACATATATATACAACATAGGTACTATATTTTCATTGCTTCCGTTAAGTATTGAAACGGGAACTCCGATTTATTAATGTGACGCTCTACCAAATAAACTAAAAAAGAAGTTCTTCCTAAGCGATTCGGTAGGTAGCGGCAAGTATATTACTTTTGGTGACCTCCACATACAAAAAGGTCTTGCCAATAGATGGCGCTACCATATCTTCAGTGTCCCTCATGTATATAGCGCTGTTTTTTTCACTAAACTTTTGTGTTCTCATAATGCCCCGCCAAAACATGGCACTGGTTTTCGAACAGATTTATTCAGCCTCAAAAAATAATTGTCATGACAAATTTCTTTGCGTGATTTCGTTTGAGATCACGTGATCCTACAGAAGTGACTGATTAGCTACTGTGTGTATGGAGGGTTGTTTACATTAGAAGTCGGTAATGGATCGTCCTCTACAAAAGGGTGTGTATGCACTCCGCGACACAGAACGCTCTAGGTTACTTAACGCCAGGCAGTACCATTGTAGTGCTGTTCAAAACAATAAACACAACATAAAACGTGAGGGTATTCTATTTAAATGTATGTTTAACTTTCAAACGAGTCATTTTAACTGCTGCTTGAAGACACGATTCTGATGTGTAAATATCCAAAGGTACAGTGCTGTCTGCAGTAAGTCTGTCTGAGATCGTAAGCTATGTCTGTACACTTTGTTTGAACCTGGATGGTATCGTTCGTAACCTTTGCACACAAGACAATCTACAAGATCGACATTCGCAGAAAAATTGCGATAAATAAAAGCCGAATATAAACTACATTATCCAAATATGACATTGGGGCTGAGAGAAACAAGATTGATATCTATCAATGGTCATTGTAGATTCATACTTTTTAGGTGAACGTAATGGCTGCTTATAACCTTATCGACGTATTATCAGAAGAGTTTCGGTAAAAAGTTTGGACGTTTCAGGTAAATATGGGAGTATCAATTAAAGAGTAATCAAGTTTCATTCCACACAGTTGCACCCGATTACCTGTTGTTTTATCCCTCTCACTTCCGGTTGTACTTTTGTCACCTGTTTGTGTGGCACCGTCACCTGCAATTGTACTCCTGTCAGAGTGTCACCTATGGTTACATCCCTGTACTCTACAGCTCTATCATTGTCACTTCCGGTTTTACCCGTCAGATAAATCAACAAGGAGCAAGATGTTATAGATTTACACAATTGATATAAATATTGATCGAGAACACCACAAGTGCTATGACTGACCTTGACTGCACGCTGTACACATATCCTTCGGTCTCCACTGAGTACAGCGCGACGTAGTCCCCCACGTTCAGGTACTCGCCGGCAGCCGTGTTACTCAACATCATCATGACGTCACAGCTTCCTACACGTCGCCTGAAAAAGGAAGCAATTATCAATCAGGTGTTTTGTTAATTACGATTGGTGAAGAGGCAAGCATGATTTAAATGTCCGTAAAACGTGATTTGATAATAAGGACTTGTTAATTGTAACAAATGTCTGCTGATCGTTACACGTGGTTTATTTAACAATATTTATTTAATTAGCAATGATGATTGCAACTTTGATAGCTGGGTTATTGATTTGGTGTTTTTAAGACGTAGATATTTTGTATACATTTCAGATCACAGCTCTTAAAAATCAACACCATCATGCAAGGGACGGAATCTTCCTGATAAACAGTATATATATTTCTCTGACATACATTGCATTTGACTGGTTTACGGTTATGTCCGTATCTTATTCTATGTTCGAGTATTTAACCTTATTTACACTGACATGGATATCTACTCTTTACAAATTAAAATTAGATATCTTTGAGCTGCGGAGGTGAGTGCAACACGCACCACCGTAGCTAAAGGAATGATTCAAAGAGACTAAACATAAGGTTAATACCAGTTGAACTTTCCCCAAGAGAAAACAATACAACGTTTCTGTTCATATGTATTATTATCATGTTATGAAACAAACTTACACCCCGTATATTATTAATAGCACGTGAACGGACTGATTGTTATAGGCGATCCGGGTACAGTTATACAGGGCTTATTATGTAATGGCAAAGTAGTTATACAGTGCCTAACATTGAAGAGAGATAATAACTCCGTGATCATAAAAGCTAAACAATCGATTGGTTACTGTACTTTGGATATAGAAAAGGTAAAATAATGAAGCAAATAGCTATGGCACCATCGATATTTTCAATAACAAATAGCTTACAGCACTATCGATATTGGTAAAAAAAATAGCTATAGCACCATCGATATATAGCACCATCGATAGTTGTGGTAAAAAAATAGCTATAGCACCATAGATATATAGCACCATCGATATTTTTAATGACAAAATGACAAAGAAAGCGTTCCTCAGGTGTCTTACGCTGCCCTAAATATACATACCGACAACAGGAACATAAACAGCAATAACTGCAACTTCGCAAATACTAAAACAAGCAACACTGACAACAAAATACTTACAACCAAAACATCGCAAATACTAAAACAAGCAACAGCAACACCGACAACAAAATACTGACAACCAAAACATCGCAAATACCAAAACAAACAACAGCAACACCGACAACAAAATACTGACAACCAGAACCTCGCAAATACTAAAACAAGCAACAGCAACATCGACAACAAAATAATGACAACCAAAACCTCGCAAATACCAAAACAAGCAACAGCAACAGCGATAACAAAATACTTACAACCAGAACCTCGCAAATACTAAAACAAGCAACAGCAACACCGACAACAAAATAATGACAACCAGAACGTCGCAAATACCAAAACAAGCAACAGCAACACCGACAACAAAATTATGACAACCAGAACCTCGCAAATACCAAAACAAGCAACAGCAACAGCAACAGCGACAATAAAATAATGACAACCAGAACCTCGCAAATACCAAAACAAGCAACAGCAACACCGACACAAAAAATACTGACAACCAGAACCTCGCAAATACCAAAACAAGCAACAGCAACACCGACAACAAACTGCCGCACTTGTTCTGAGATTGCCTTAGATTTTGTATACGTCACCTAAACTATGTGCTATTTATAGTGCTGCATGTGCATCGTCAATGTCGTGCTGTACAAAACATCCGCTAGGGAATTGAAGACAGGAGTCAATCATTAAGTAGGTATGTGGGATATGGACATTCCATCAAAACCTTGGTTCTGACCCGAAATTTACGCCTTTCGTAGAATGTCCACATCCCAGATACCTATAGATGTGAGTTAGACTCTAATAGTAAAATGATTTTGTTGTTTTTTAACAATTTATTGGTTATTACACATTTGACAAGAACTTTTGTGATTATAGTGACCAATACGAGTTATCTCACAAAGCATGGACAAGGAATAAGTAGTGTTTGGTAGTGTAATTGGAACATCGACAGCTTTGTTTTTCTCTCTTGTTATGCATTATTTCGTCTAAAAAGCCTCTTAACAACTGTAAACTAATTATGAAAAACTCTCGCCTCTGAGTCATGTTACACGGTAAAGCTGCCATAGCGGTACAATTAACTAGTTTATGACTGGTTCCACATTAGCTGGTCCTTATTGTTTTAGGGGACGCAAATGCTGACCGTCTTGGCCAGTGTAAATAAGACGAGCGTGCTAAGTCCACATTGTCTGTTTAGAAATTATTTTTTTCTCTTTCTGTGTTCACGTGATTTATTGAAAAGAAACGCCAACAGGCAAAGTTTACTTGAAACACGCCGAGATCGATAGATTGGGACAGAAAATGATAAATCTTGTGGAAGCGGCCGTGTTGTATTTGACAGACAGATTTCACTATCTATTAACCCGATGTAGTCATTTTGTAGTCGGTCACATCTATAACCCCGACAGTCGGACCACCCGGCCATATATCACATGGTCTACTACTGAGGCTCCTTCTGTTCCGCCCGGAACCCCAAAGACCTAACACAGTCTAATGAGGCATCGTTCTGTTAAGTTTTGACCCCGTTATACCCCTCAGAGCATAATGAGGGATCGCCCTGTTCGTTCTGACCATGCTACCCCACACTGCATAGAAGGGAATCATGTTGTGCGCTTAAGAGCGTCTTTATTGTTTATTTATCTTTTCTATTGTTTTAGGAAAGCGTATGACACCTATAGGAAATACTGTATATCTTTCATTGTAGTAAACACGTGTAAACAGCAAAAGCTAGAACTGTAAGTCAAATGCTAATTAATACCCCCGCTCCTATATAAACCAGTTATGTAAGCTAAATGCTTACTAAGGTAAAGTATTGCGAAGCAATCCGTAGTCTCCCACCAGTAATGATTTCGTTATTGACTGAGCTGTACACTTATTTAAGTATATAGGTCACTGACATACTTCCTGTACTCCCTCCCAATGTTCTTGTTAGCTCAGATGAACTGAAATCATCCAAGTTGTTCAGGAACAGATGTCAGGACAACGATTTTTAAACATGGTCGAAGTGAAAAAAATACTTTCCTGATGTAAGACATCAGGGGTAATTACCATATCCATAAACTTTCGTTATAATTGGCGGTATAGTCTTGGAGGAGCTGTCTGGACAAATATTTTTCAACAATGGCCGATTTCTCCGTAGAAAGGGGACAGATTGAAAAAATGATACCCGAATGCACAACAACAGGTGGTCGTTATCATATCTGAAAAGTTTCGTTGAAATCGGTCTATTACCTTAGAAGGAGTTGTCCGGACAAACTTTCTCTATGGACAGACAAATAGACAGACGGATGGACGGACGGACAGAAAGACTGACGGACTGACAGACGGACATAAAGACAAGTTGATTCCAGTATACCCCTAACTTCGTAAAGGTGGGTATAATTACATTGTTATCAAATGTGAAAGGCGAATTTACAGTATTACGTTCTATTATGAAAATAAAATCCCTTGAAAGGAATATTCTACTAGAATCTGTACACCCCTGACATGATAAACCTCCAATGCCGTGTATGGTATTGAGTGTGGCCTCTGTGGATTGATGTGTTGGTGAAACAAAAGAACAATGATGACATCGAATGTAATGTAATCGTTCGGCAGTGAACCGTCGAGAGAATCAATGTGTATATCAACAGTTCAAACTTGTTATCATTATCTTCTGCCTATGACTGTCAGTATTTCAGAGAAAACTCATTACCCTGCTAATGTATTCCTTGACAGCGATGTAAACAAAACACAAGTCTGTATTTCTTGACAGCGATGTAAGAAAAACATCTAATAACTTGATCATTGTCTGCAAACACTATTATATTCCCTTCTTATAAAAAGAATCAGGCTTGCTTAATAAACAAGGGAATACCACTTTCACAGTTCAAATTTTGCGAAAGACGGAATGGTGGCTGATTACGGTATACCGCAGCGCCAAACATTCAGATACGAATTTCCACGAACTTCCATGTAATGAATTGGGAAATATTTTAAAGTCAAAAGGTATCACCTACTCCAAATAAGAAAATTTGGGATCTAGTACACCTATGATAGCAAGCAGACATGTTAAATTGGCCAGATATTGAAAAAGAGGACGAAGCTAAAGCGTCACAGCTGTGACGGACCGCCAGTGGCGTACAGAGTATCGTGTGTTTCCTTTATGTAAATGAAACGTCAGAAGGCTTGTTTTGGACAAACAATTTGATTGGAATGTCATCACTAAATGCATTTGATATGACCTCTATTATTGTGAGTTATTTTTGTTGGTTCAATACAGTGAAGGTGGGGCATATTGTTTACACATGGCAGATTGTTTTGCCCCCGTATCCTCGCATTCTCTCGCGAGACTTGTGCATTTTCCAGGAAGAACTCTTCGAAGGGGAGTAACTCGTGGATGGTCGCGATAACACCTATTACTTCATAGGGAAAACTGTATTAATAAATATTCGCTGTCATGATCAACTCGTCCTCACTGCGGAGGGTACAAGTATGCTTCTGTGATGAATTCTGTCCGAAAAACGGTTTGTGAAAAATGATACGTACCTGCCTTGTTTGTATTGGATTCCGAAGCTTTATAAACTATCGTTTATGTTTGTCTCCGTCTCTGCTAGTTGCTCAACAAAATCATTATCCAAAAGTCGTGCTATTATTCTAATTTTTCTAATACGTTTTTTCCTCAGAACAGTTTCCTGTATTTGACTTCACAATTAACTAACACTCCTCATACCTAACTACAGAAACACTTTCGTGACCTCTTAATTATATTTTTTTACCCCCAAGAACAGCAATCTATGCAAAAAACATATGGTTGTAAATTGTTCTTGGTCCTATTTTAGAGAAAAACAAACACACGACGAAGGCAAAGATGAAATTGATGAATTTTTGTTGAGCTCAGTGGCAATTTTTTAACCAGACTTTTGGCATTC